TAGAGTCATAGAGAGTGATTTGTCAAGCACTATTTTTATGCTTAAATTATACAATATACATAGGTTTATTCAAATACTGATGTTTTGAATTTTTAAATACACTTGAAGATTTTCGAATACTTGGGATTTTTTCTATTATTTAAGGATGGTGATGATTACAAACTTCTGTGTTTCAAATAAGAATCCCCCGTTTTCACCTTTAATTATTCAACAGATTTTTGAGAATTTTGATGTATCTAAATCAAAATTTAAACTAGTAGTTTTTGTTTACTGAGGATAATATGGAAATGGGTTAAGTAGATGTATAAGTTAGATGATTTGAAAATGTTAGTAATTATACTATCAATACAAATCATTTTTAAAAATTATCTAAGTATTTAGTATACTGAATAGTGAATAGGTACTACATCTAGTTAATAATTAATATTACATATAACCTATATAGTTTATATTATTGAAAACCATATTCAAGGATTATTATCCTTAGTATAAACATTTTAATAACTTAGCAACTATTTATTAGAATTTTGATTTAGATAAGTACCTATATCAACATTTTCAAGAAAATCACCTGATAAATAATTTGCTGTAAAAAAGAGGGTTTATCATTTGAAAAATAGAAGTTTGTCGCCACAGAACACTCCTTAAGTAGTAAAAGAAAATATCCGGAATTTGAAAATATAGTTTTCAGGTAGAATTAAAAATTTAAAAATCAGAATTTTAACAAATGTATTTTTAAAGGAAAAAATGGTGGTGAGCATTTTTTTAACAAAATATTAAGTACATGTGTTTGGGGCCTTTGTATTTCATTATGGGGCCACTTAAAAAAACTGATCCAGGATGTGCCATCCTTTGGTGTGCCAGGCCGAAACTGAATATTTATGTCAATAATGCTTCCAATTTAAATTTGGCTACAATTGGTTAATTTTTTTTATATTCCAATTCACAGAACTGTATCAATTATTGGAACAAAAATGTTATTAATACTTTTTCATACGCGTTAGACATATAAAAAAAAATATGTAGCATCCTCCCATCCTATCAAACAAACAATTATAAACATTAAATTTATCATTAGGTAATTTAATAAATAGATTATTAATCTGTGATTCGTTATATACGTGTATATAAGTATATATGATGCATGTCATTATATGAAAATAATATTAATATTAATTAATTATAAATAATTAAGCTTATTATATTTGGTATTAAGTCAGGGCTTATAAGTCACATAAACTTAATAATATTCAGATAAAACTTGCATACAGCTATACATTAAAAATAAAAACATTAATAATAATTATAGTAGAGACTTTAGAGTTTAGATCAATATAGATATACAATATACATCATGATAATTGATCATGTACGTTTAAGAAATTAAAATAAAATAATATGTAAATCAATTTATATGCATTGCAAAAAAACTAATTAAATAATAATTATTACAATATATTATAATCTCATATAAGCCGTTAAACATAAATAGGATGATAAGGTATAAGGAATAAAGATTAATTGAACATCAGTACTGCCATATATCTCTACAAAATAAAAACAATTAATAAAACAAAAAGCTATTTAAAAGAGAATTCTGAATTTCTGAATATTCATACTGTATTAAATCACTAACTACCTACCAGCTACTGTATCTTAAGTCTTGATTCAAAATATAATTTTCTTATAATAATAAAGCTAGAAAAACATTTAAGGAGTAACAAATGACAAAATAACACTCTTTCTGGAGTTCAATTTTCTGTTGACGAACAGGAATGGGTACCTATGGTGAAAAAGTGTATACAGTATACTATTATATTATGTTGTGATTTGCGAACATCATAGAATGATGAAAATATCAACATTCTAAGTGTGACATCATGGATACACTAAATACAGTGTCAAAACTACAAACCCTTGGACTAGGATTTATTTCGAGGCCCCAAATTAATATTATTATTTTTATTTTTAAAATATAATAAGGAAGTTAAAGTTACTGTCTTTATTAGTTATTACTTTTCATTAACCTTCCCAACAAATCAATATCAATGTTACCAACTCTATTAATGTAAAATTGAAATCACTGAAAAAATATGTCATACGACGTTTTTCTATCAAACTTAGTACCTATAGATATTATACCGTGTTATTATACGGTCATCGATATGATGATATGAATATTTTTTTATAGCAACAGTCACGCGAATAACGACACTATTTTGCTCACATAGAGCGCTGCTATAGTAAAAAAAGTGAGATTCGCTGAATTGGCTTTCTTATCACTAGTAGACAGGAGCAAAAAACTATTTTAAATCATGACTTATACATAATATACTATACCAGGTGGCAGGGAGTGGGCAAGTTCTATAAAAAAGTATTAATATAAGTTTTAATTTCTGTCTACCTTCCCAAGGTAACTTACGTTTTTTTTTATCAACATAATAATATAGATCATCATTTAAATAAATTGTAAAGCCCAGTTTGAGACATCACAATTAAGCTCATTCTACTTTAAAATCTAAATACCATAAAAGTCGTTTAAAAACAATTTTAAATCCCTTTTCTAGTTAAAACTTAAGACTAACATTTTTGAAATTTTTTTATTGCAAAATTGTTACTCAACGATGCCGTCAACTATCTAGCTTAGTTTTAAAATTCGCACAGAAATCCTTCCACCGCAAAATTCAAAATAAAATAAATATGTATTAAAAAAACTATCAACAGGTCGCAACACTGTATATAAGCTATGGTCACAGAGCTTATGGGCATACCATGCCAAATGCCAATGATTTATATCATATCATAATATTAAAGGGTATAAAATAAATAAACATTTAACTAATTATTATTCAACTATTCATAAAATAACTGGTCGTCCATGGTCAGTACAATCATTGATTAAACAATAAATAATAGTATTTATAGTCAATGGTACAATGTAATAAATAGTATAACAAAAACTAAAAAGGCAAAAACCATAATACAGTAGCGTTGGCACTCGGCAATTATATAGGAATTAATGTATTGAAATTGCCTATTCATAACTCCGTCTTTGTGTAATATTGTGAATTATTATTGTAATAATAATTTATATTACAGTATTATTATTATTGTAATAATAATTTATATTACAGTATTATTATAATAGTAATATATTAATTATTAAGTTCATTACTCATTACGTGACCTGTGTGGTGCCTTGGTTTTCCTCAATCACAAAACGTGTTCTGAATGCAAGAACCGACCGTTGTCACTAGTTCCCGGTTGGGTGACCACTAGGGTCTTAGTGACAAATCCTCGCCAAGTATACACTTGTTCAAACCAACTTAAAATAACCTTCACCTAATAGCCTGTTGCCACGGGTTAATTAATGAAAAAAATTACACCTTACTAAAATATAAATTAAACTTTTAACTTAGTTTTACTTTATTTTAGGCATTTGTCAATTGTCATAGGCCATATAGTAGGTAACGAATAATGTCGAGAGTGAAAAAAGCGTTAATTTCATAAAGACTGCAGCCAAAAGACATACCTATGATTAAAGACAAAATGTATGTACGATTATTTTAAATTCTGAGCGGAACGATTAGTTTAATATAATGATAATTTTTTTTTAATTGTGTTCGTCACCACTCACCGCATCTTTTGTAGTAGTAAATTGCTTCAATAATCAACTTTGAGGGTGGTTTCCGATACTAAGTTGTCTAGTTTGTAATATTTTTAATACATATATTATAAATTATAATGCTAGCAATAAAAGTAAATTATGAATACTTGCAACAAATACTATTTAATGCTAATTATTTTAGATTTCGAACGGAGCTGAGAGATGAATAAATTGGTTTTACAATGATGTGTGTATTTTTTTTACAATTTTTTTTTTTGTTTGTACACGATAAGTAGTTGAAATAATACTTCGATTTTCAACTTCAATATCTTGTTTGATGGGAAAGTGAATATTGTTGATGCACTGAGGAGGTCAAAATTTTAAATTCCCAATAATTTTCAAAAGCGCTTTGAAAAATAAAATAAAAATGAAGGAAAATTGTTTTCACACAATACAATAATTATTTTTATAACACACATCATTGTAAAATCAATACATTGATAGCTAAACTCATAATTGAACATATGTAATCGTCAAATCATATACGCTCTGAATTTTACATAATATAATATATTTAAAATTACTTATATCAAACCCCTTAAAAAAATTATTTCTTTCAGAGGGATTCTATGACATTTTATGAAAAAGTATAGAACAACTAAACTGAAACTATTCTTCTTATTATTATTTGAAATGAAGCTATTTCTGTAAAATATAATACATTTAGCCATACGCCCATATATATAGGCACAAGATATTTAAATTATATTATAATCTGGTATATTTTGTGAGCCGGGGATCACACTGTTTTACACAGTAGATGTACCGTCTACCTATGGATATAAATCATAAATATGTACTTATGTCACACATTGTCACATTGAGTGTTTAATATTTGAGGAAGTATACTGTATTACTGTAGTATTCACTAACCACTATACTGTGTTGGCAGTGTTGCTTCATTTATATGCATTATTATTGTATTCATATTATTTTATCAGACATACGTACATACCATACAACAGTAAATTAAGTTTTGGAAATGTTAAGAAAATTTAAACAGTATTTTCATTTCAAATTGTGTATTTATGTATGAGTATAACATACACAATGACAATTAGGATATATTATTATGCATCCAGGTATCCTATTAATATGAATTAACTAATTATAATATTTTTTTTATTTTATCCTATTTTACATGTTTTACATTACATTTCAAAGTCTTACGTAATGTTTAAATTAATTTTATAATTTATCCGATTATGCGTTTAAATATTATACTTTATTAATAAATAGGTACTAAGTTATTTACAACATACAACAAATACAAAATATATAGGTACTTAAATAAAAGTTTCAATTAACATATTTTTTTTTTAAATTTTACTAATTAACAATTAGTTTTATTGATAAATTTATTTCCGCAGTCTTCTATTTCATCACAAAGCGTATGCATTTTTACACACCGGCCATTTCTGAAAAAATAAAATGCATAAATACATAATTTGTTTGTGATATATTTTTCATACAATGTATTATTTAAAATATGATTATTACTAAATTAATATGAATTATCATTATTAAAATTGTTAATAACTAATGCAAAAAACATTCATAATTATTTGTAAATTTAAACACACGTTGTATTAAAAAAAAAATATATGTTAAATAACTATCACATTCTAGTTTCTACATAATAGTACAGTAGTAAGTATTAATGGTTAAGCCACGCTCTACAGACATGCGTGCGAATTGTGCAAAATATAATATTATAACTGCAGCAATACAGTGGGATTCGATAATTATAATAATTTGTACCTGTATAAATACCTAATGCAATTGTTATTATAATACGAAATATATCGAATAATTATGACTCATATACCTCTCGATTGTCAAAACTACCATAAAAGTCATACATATTTTAAATTATAATATTTTGATAATATAAATCAATAGCGGGTGATTGACGAATTTGATTTTCATTGGCAACACGTGTTGTGTTATATTATAATGCTATGTATAAACAGCTGCGTAAGCCCGAAAATTCTAAAAGAAATATGGTGCTACATTCGTGTGAAGGAGCATATTCGTTCGATGCAATATCTACCTGCAAGCTTTCTCATTACTCCTGCAAGGCCCTTCACATCCTAACGGTTCGTCAGACTTGTCTGTACAGTCTGCGTATGCATCGCAAAAATGATCGTAGCTCACACACTCATCGTTTGAATTACAAGCAAATTTACCATCTTCGCAATCTAAATTTTTTTGTGCGTTTATTATATTAGGTATATAATAAGTATATTAAAATATATGAAACTATATAATAAGATTTATTATCATCGCTAAATTATTTTATCACAAACACTGAAAACGTATATACTTACGGGTACAATTAAGCTCATCGTGGCCATTCCAACAGTCCGACACGCCGTCGCACATTTTCGTCTTAAGCAAACATTGAATGCCACACCGGAAATGTGTGTCGAGATCACATGCTAAAATCGAAAACATGTAAATGTATAGCGTTTCTTTTTGTGTATATTAATCTTATGATATAATATTATAATTTATATTTTTTATGTGGCGAGCAATACTTACGACAATCTTTTTCGTCTGTCTGGTCTAAACAATCGTAAATACCATTACACTTCGCCTTATCCGATACGCACATGCGGTTTCCACACTCGAACTCATTTTTAGAGCACGGCGAAGTATCCACACAACTAAAATAAAAACAATAATTGAATTATATTTTATATTTGATATATTTACTGTTATTAGATAATTATTTCAAATTTATTGAAAGGCAAATTATGTAGACGTATTGAGAGAGTATGAACATATTAATAATTCCGTTATCCTGGCTTATTAGTTATTACTACTGTCTACTTATATAGTTGGGCCCGTAGTGGTCGGACTAACCATGCAAATAGATATATGAAGTGCTTTAAACCGAATTAAATTCTATAAATACCTCGAATATAATAGTAACTATAGCCATGATAAATACAACATAAAAAGGATAGATCTAAATTGTAATCCTAATTCGAAAATTTTGAATACCTATTAATTATTATTAGGTAAGTACAAGGTACGTAATTAAAACTAATAACATTTATGTCAAATTATCTCCACTCTCATTTATTTACTAATTAATGAATTAAAATAAGTTAATGTGTAAAATTGCTAACTTTTAAATTCAGTTTTAAAAACAATTATTTATTTACGATAAAATGTTGTTTTTATCAGTAAGTGGCAATGTGGGTGTATAATATATATGTTTAAGTATTTGTGGGATCTTTAGTGTAACTATATGTGGTGGGTTTAAAACGGATATTGTGTACAGGATAAAATAATGTATGGGTGGGTGGAAAGTATCAAGCGGAAATTGTTTGATAATTCAATCTCAAATCAAAAATGTATTCAAATTGAGGTATAAGTATTATATGAAACCAGACATGACGAAGATAGCTATGAAACTTTGACTATGTTATTCACATACAAATATACAATCATATTTAATAATGTGTTCAATATATTGATGCCACGAGATTAGATTGTATTTAAAACCTATGATATCATAATATACTACCTAGTACCTATTATATTATAATAGGTACTAGGTAGTTTAGATATGATATTATATGCTCATCCAGTCATCCCTCAATTGATGGTAAGATGACAAATAATATATTTAAACGATTTTACACGTAACGAGAGAATATGATAAAAAAAAAGGGTAAAACAGTTTTAGAAGGGTAGGAACAAATTAATGAAAGAAAGTAAAATAAAAAAGTTGGTTTCATATGTTTGGGAAACATAAAAGCACATAGTATCTAATATCTAAAAGTAAATGCGTATTTTGTATGCAATAAAAGATGGCAGCTAAAATATATTGTAAGAAACATCACTCCTTTCTCTACTGTTTTTCGAAAAAATAACAAAATCTTATCAACATTCCTTGTTGACGTTTTAGCCACTATTAATCTTTGTATATTTCTCATCACATAAGTTTTAATTGTTTCTACTACCAACTAAAGAACGAATTATTTCCATTTCTATATAATAGATACAATATTAAAAAGTCCATAGTTATATTAATTATAATAATTGTTATTATATGCAAATATCACATTGTTATTTGATCACCTTACTTTAATGTCTATATTATGAACAATTTTAAATGTGAAGTTATATACTATAGTAGTATACTTATTAAGGTGAAAGCTAATAAAAAAGATTAATTATGATTGTTTTAAGAATAATTTAAAAACTAATTTCAAAGAAAATTTACAAACTATTGTTTGATATTTCGTCAAAATATCAAAATAAGTACTTTTATACTCTTTTAATTTTGGAAAACCTGTTTGAAAAAACGATTACTATATGAATTTGAACGGATTCAGTCGCGTATAGCGTATTCCAAACCAGTTTAATATGGTATTTTATATTCCAATTAATTTAACTTATAATAATAGTAATTAAGTAGTAACTACCGAATGACCAATTTTAGTGGAATTTCAAAGGAATGTTGGAATTTCAAAAATATTTCGTCTTTTAGTCTAATCATGCATATTATGTATTACTCAATGGTCTCAACATCTATAATTATAATTATAAAATAACGATTACTTACGTATACGCATTTCTATGAATTTTTTGACAGTACTGGGTGTTTATACCACATCGACCCCCACATCCAGTTAAATCCTTTGTATCCAAACTTGGTAAACACTGCAGAATCCCTTCGTCACGATCGGCCAAACAGACTTCGTCTTCTTTGCATTCGTCACAAATCCAATTATCTTCGACTGAAATTGTTGATATATTTAATTAGTTATAGGATAGTACCAATGTTTTTCAGAACTAAATTATTGTAAGTACCAACTTATTTTATAACATACAGACATTTTCATTAATATTATATTGCCAACGCCAAATAAAAATATATGTACATTCTTGATAAATTTTAATCAAAATAAATATTATATGAGAAATAGCCTAAAGCCTGAACAGATGGGAATTTAAATTTAAATAAATACAATTATTGTAATTGTATAAATTATTATTGTTGTTAGTATTCAACGTTTTTAAAACTTTTTCGATTATGATACAAGAATAAAAATATATAATAGTATTTTTTATAATACTTGAAATTTAAAAATGTCTAAGCATACAGGACCCGCCCTATTATTATGTTATTACCTAGTTTTATATTTTATCCAGTGATGAATTCAATGAAATACATAGATATTAATCGATATAGGTTTCTAGATACGCCATGCGAACCGTATAATATATAAAGCCGTAAAACCTATACCTGTATTTTATAATTTTAATAAATTTAAATGTCTACTATTTCTAGATACGCGTAATGTTGTTCTCTAAGTGGAAACAGGAAAGTGACTTGATATTTTTATAGTTACCATTTTCAGCGACTTTGTTTGTCGGTGCCTGTTCGATTACTTCCTTGCTGGTTGATGTCGAAATCGGTGGCGGGACTGTGAAATATTCATCGAGGTCCGAGTTTTGTGACAAATATATCCGACAGGGCATCAGGTCCAGATCACTCTTGTTGCCCGGTATGAGCAGACACCGGTCCACACTTGTCGGTTCTCGAGTGTCCCGAGTCAAACATTTCCTGGTCCTGGTAGCTACATAGTCTCCCGGATCTTCACAGCCGCTCCATTCTGACCAATCAGTCCACACACCCAACTCGCCACTCACTATTTCGCAGAACACAACGTTATGGTTTTATAATATTGATTATAATTAGTGGTTGGAAGTTCTGCGATATTTATTATAATTTTTTTAGGAAAAATATAGCCACGTATTAGCATATTGACTTTTTTCCTAAGGTAAAAATCCAGCGTTTAGTAAACATGACACTACAATTGTGGTTGTCCTTAGTGAATATAGTAAATTTCGTTACTTTTTACAAGTTTTTACCGTCTCTAGCATATAAAATAAATAATCTTCATTTCAAACGTAAAAAAAAAATGCATATACGTCCTAACGACCTAACATATAATAATGATAATATGACGTAATATCCATATGCACAACACAATAAATTCATGTATAATAACATTATCAATAAGTATCGAAATCAATATTAAGCTGTTACTATACACAGAATCAATTCACAGAACACCGAGAGTGTTACTTCTCGTGTTGTAATAAAACAGTGACTTCATGTTTCGAAAAATTGGTTTGTGTGCACATTAGCAGATTTAACAGCTGTGCTTACTTTTTAACAGGGGTCACCTACTGATTTTATTTTGCTAACAAAAAAAATATAATTGTGTATAGGTATTACGTAGTACCCTAACTTTGCATAAAAGCAGGTACCAACAGTGATCATTTTTTATTTTGTAGCAACTTCCGACCATTTTAATAAAAAATTTGCTATAACAATTTTATATGGTGCAATTAACGAGAAGGCATTTATTTACTTTGGAATCCAATGGATTGAACGTCCACGCTGTAATTTCCTAACCAAGTATGCCCGTGCTGTATGCGAAGAGTTTTGAGGAACGCAATGCCGATCTGCCCAATTCCGATCGCCGACTCGGGTTCTTGAGAGAACTTGATTTCGCACTGTACTTGAACGCCTTTTGCTTGACCAGGACTTAGATCGATCACCTCACAGCCATCATACCACGGTGACAGTTCACTGTTTCTGAACGTGTCATCCAACTACATTAAAAACAGTGGGTTACATTTTCCAGTCACTTATACGAACAATAATAGAATGAAATACAATAGTACCAATAATATGTACTATATGTAACTAGTAGGTAACTATACAACTGTATAGAGTTTATTTATAGTTACCTGAGTCGTGATATTGGCACTAAGTGCTAAAAACTCGGTGGAGTTTCTATCCACAAAGCCTATCGTGTACGGAATATTTGTAATTTGAAATTCTCCTTCTACTACTAGTGGATACTTCTCCTTGTGTGGAACTGCAAAAAAATAAAAATAAAAAATCATTTAAAAAAAAACTATTAGCATTGTTTGAATACATGATACTAAAAGATTTTCTTGGTTATTTTTACAGAGGAAAAATGCTACTTAATAATAAATTATGTATTTTGATACTAACACGGGTGCGTTTTAAAATATGATAATTATTTTTTTAAATTTTAATCAACAGCGGAGGGCAGCTTACGACGAGACAAATAAATAGGTTTAGAAAAACTCACGATGCGATGATGACCTCCCTATTAATTATTAATGTCGATGGACGACGAAATATATATATATACGAATATTGAATATAGTATACCTATAAACATATAACATACGATTATATTACTATTGGTTTTTGGTCAGGCGCGCGTACGTGCTTGTTGAAAATTAATATCTATATACCATCGCCCTCGAGCGATGAATTAAAAGATGCTTGTATTATATTAAGAATAATGTATAATATATCTTTATATATAGGTACAGAACCTGCAATATCGAATATTTCGTGAGTGGTTTAAAAAAAAATAAAAACACCCGGAGTCCAGAGAACCTAGTTTTTACGGGTAATTTGTTTTCATCAATAGTGTTATTTTTCAATTGAAACACGACGGTCTAAATCGGCATTACGCATTATATTATTCATCAGTTCCTATTCACTATTCAGTGCTGATCCTTATTTGTAAGTACCTACCTATGTATATAATGAATACAATACACAACACACGCGCATCCTCCACAAAATGTATTATATGCGCACTATCGATATTTTGGTATCAATCGATCTCGGTACGTAATCTGATTGATCTATAGGTAGGTCCGTCTATAATACGAAGCGTGGTGCTTTATGTGAGTTCTACCCATTGTGTTGTCTAAATCGAATTATATAGGTACCTACGTATTTATTATTATATGGTACATTGTAGCGGATCGCGCGTTCATGTCTTCGTTTGATGTACACAATAGTAATAATATATTAATATTCGCATAATAATCTATAGGTAGGTATACTGCATTGCAGGCAAATCGCAAATGTATATTATACAATTTATATTATCCATCTAAATATGAGGCGCCATACGGGTGGTCACGGGATGGAGTGGACCAACATCACTTCCCCTCTCCATAATTCAGGGATGTCACGGAATCGAAATATGAATATATGTGGTGATTACAACTTTTGAAAATAAACGCCCATGTGATAGTCACTACTATAGTACAATATATTAATATTAATATCATAACAATATAATATTTATTATATTAGACCATCAATAAAAACATTATTATTACATAGACTGACTGACAGACCGTCTCCGCTCAGAATCTTTTTTCGTATACAATGAATATCATTATTAAATTAAAATTTAACACCATCCATTACAGAGACCCTGGACCCACTTGTAACCTACTGTATATAGCAGAGCAGTATTCACTTTTTTCAGTAGTGATGCTTTGAATTTTGTTTCAAAATCCGAACCTCAGCAATTACACACATTTTTATAACACGTAAACACTGCAGCTCCAGACTCCGGCCAGCTGCTTCACCCATTCAGGAACTCGTAATTTACTATACTTTATAAATAGCACGCCCCACGTTTGTACGTCACGCACACGTACTTATTGTATTGTGCACGGTACACAGATATGTCAGAATTTCACAAGAGTCGTTTCTAATTTTTCAGTGGTGTAGAGTATTATACTTCACGTTTAAAATATAAAAATTCCTATTTTTATTATCACCATCATTATTAAATAATAATATTATAAAATATAGCTTATGAATTTCTGTAAATCATAAATGTGCTTAATAGTTTTGATAGTTTTCTTTTGTAATATTATTATGATGAACTTTTAATAATAATTGGCTTTTTTTATATATGTTTTCATCGTATGATCCAAGGGCCAAGAGCACTAACTTTTTTGTGCTTAATCACTGCCTAGGGATGCACAACTTTCCTAAAACTTGCCCCTGAGAATAGTACCTAAACAATAACTTATTATTTTTACATAACTTGAGGTCTATAATATAATTGCAGTGATTTAAAATGGTCTGTAACCCACTAATGACAAAAATTAAATTACTTAACCGTGGAGGAATTTCCAGATGATTGTGGATGACCCAAATATGGAGTTTAAAAGGATTTTTGAAAACGAATGTGCTCGCGAAGTTTTATATACTTTATAATTCATTTCATGGATTCTTCCGATACATAATATTATGATCATGCATAATAATATTATGTGTGCACACTCGCTCGTTGACGTACATAATTGTCTATAATGTCTATAGGTATTACCTTGTATTCTAGTGATGTACAACAGCACGCTGGTGGTCAGGCATATGATCGCCGTGAAGAACAGAAACGTGTATAGGACAAACATGTTGGTGTGGCACATGGTCCTTGGCGGCGAATTGCACTTATGCAAATGCGGTATGTCCGAGGGCGGCTGCCAGCAGGTACACCGCTTGCCGGGCTGTTGCCGGGTCGTCGGCTGGAATGCGGCTGGCGTGGGCGTCGTCACTACCGCGGCGGCGTTGGTGGCTGCGGCGGCGGCGGTCGTTCCGTAGGCGCGTGGGTCGTAGATCGTGGACACCGCGGTGCCGGGCCCGCCGCGGCCGCCCGTGTTGTCCTTACCGGACAATAACCTCGCGGCCAAACACTCGTTGGCCATCCGCTGGCCCTCCTCCGGGTTATAAGCCGGGTTTTCCATTACGTTGTTATTTCGACGGTGGTGATCACGTCCCGCCGTCGTACCCCGCGTAGTAGTCCTCTCGAACCGGAGCGCGATCGCCTGAAACAGTGATGAGCACAGATTTTAAATTATTGTTAATATTGTAACAGTTATGTATATAGGTAAAGATAGGGCGCACACTGTAACACTGAGGGTCGATTGGTCGAATATTAAAAATAAGTTTTGAAATGACATAATAGGACATAAAAGATGTATTTCGGAGTGCAGTTGGAGATCAGCATAATATGAAATATTACAAATTTTTTTTAATTCACAAATGAATGAGAAATGTATTTTTAAAACATTGCAGTCTCTATGCAGGGAGGAGATTTCACACTTAATACATAGACTCCCCCCTCTTTGTTCACCAATGCTGCAATGCTTGTATAGACACATCATAATAATATCACAATATATTAATATATTATATTATAGTCAGACGTGACGTTTACAACTCATAATATGTTATACGCTATATTTTTATGGTTCTATATCTATCGCGTTCTGTTCTGTTGGGTTCAGCGACTCTCATTTTATACGCACACGCGCCTTAAGACGACATAATAACACAAATAATAATAGTAATAATATATACTGCACCTATTTATATATATAATATATATTGACCACTAGTTACCAAGGGGAAAATGGAAAACCATCGTCTCGCGTGTATTAAAACGGTAACGCGGCGCCGCCGGTGGAAGTTTTCGTTCCGATAACCGCGGACATCACACTCGCATTGTGATCGACTATATTGTAGGTACATGAATGAAACGTCAAAAATCCTATTGTCAAGTTTATTATTTTTCTTTTCAATGGGTCATTAAATCGTTGCCCAGCCATATAGTCGTAAAGTACATGTGTCGACCAGAATAATGACTGCGAGTAAATATGGAATTTTTCACGTGGGTGTGTGATCGTCTGAACGAAAACATCACAATAATATAATATATACATTATAATATACCTTATATATATATTAAATGCCCACGACCGCACCATCATAATGCCGGTCTTATGGCGTGTTCATGGGCAATGTCCAAGAGACGTCGCTTGATTTGCATAAATAACACATTTACGAGTCAATATATATACCTATATATAATACTACGTATATATGGTATATATATGTTGTACGGTTCATAGCTGTTGTTGTTTTTTTTATTATTTTTTTTATTTATTTATTTAAATTGTTGTTTAGGATATTCATTAAGCGCCGAACACGTTTTAACTCTTAACCGTGAGTGAGTCCGCAAATTAAATAAAAAGAATCTGAAGAAAAAACCGAGATGTTTTATTAAGTGCCGGGACGTTTAAGCGGCCGGTTATTTAACGTGAACAACTGACTATCCCTTGTATTTTTAATGACATATAAAAATTTTACAAATACAATTTCTCGGCAGACGTAGAGATTTATACAGTTTATAGGTAGGTAGTGACCGATGCACCTTGAATGTCTTCGACGTGGACCGAAAAACATCTTCAGGCGTCTGCGGGATATAAAAAACGAATGACTAATGATGACGTCCGTGAGAAAGTCTATTTCATAAACATGAAAACTGTAAAAGTTCATTGATTTTATTTTGTTTTTTGTTTTATAACTTTAAATTATTATAATATTATGCATGACACCAATTAATTGTTATTTTCGAGGGAAATCTAGGGACCTATTAATGGGAGTATAGCAAACATAATAAATTGCAATTAAAAAGAATGAATGTATTTACTATTTATATAGTATTTGTTAATTTATTATAAAAATAGAAAATCTGGTAGTAATCTAATTGCACATAATATTCGAACGTTCTTGAAGATGACCAGTAGTTAACATTATTAATTTAAAATTTAATATTGAGTATATTGTGTAGGTACTTATATTAAGTGTACCTATATGTTGTGTTAAAAGTATGTTCTTCCATTCATACGTATCAAATTATAGAAAAATATACCTAGATTTTTTAATAACAATTTTAAACACACATAATATATACCATTATACTTTTATGGCTATATATGATTAATCTACCATAATTTAATAAATTACACCAGTTTCAACGAATCAAAATAATGAAACTGTTACTTATTTTGTGATTTTAATCCTAGAAAATTAATTAACGGCACTACATAATTATGATAGCCCAAAACTTAATCTAGTCATTATAACTACTTTGAAAATAACTTTAAAATTAGCGACCAGCATATTATTATACATTCCTACATAATACATATGTATGAATGCAATAAAATTAATATGATGCATGTCTGTAGAAATTGACCATTTACTCGAATAAAAAAAAAAACAAGATCATTTTTTTCATAGGAGTTTTGATTACATTATAATACATAATATACAAAATACACAAAGTTATTGATATTTGTTTCATTATTATTTTTCAAATCAATATTTAATTTATTATAAAGCAGTAGAAACTAGAAAACTAACAATAATTAGAATAGAATAGGGGACTCGTAACATTTAAAAAAAATCGGTATGTATCGTATTAATGTTTACGTACCTACAATGTGACTTAATTATTATTTAAAAGAAAATCTAGTAAAGAAATTTACTGAAATATGTTTTATCATTTTGGGGAAAAAAAATAGTTTTTTGTTTTATTTTATTTTATCTCTTATGATCTTATTACTTATAATATTAATACCTACATGTTCCTTTAATTGTTAATATTATTTAATGCATGCACATTGTAAAATGTAATGTAACGTCCAATGGCCATAGTTGCCGCGGATAGTATGTTTAATAAAAAAAAAAAAAAAGGTTACGAGTACCCAAATAAATGATTCACTTTCAAGATGTTCAATACCTTGGAAAAATATAAATCGTCCTTTTTAAACGAAAAACTCAAAATGCTTTTGTATTTCTTTAAATCTTTTATAAGTTTATTTGGTTGATTCTAAAAAAATATAAATAAACATTCATATTAAATTGAATAGCTTATTGTCATATTTGAAATAAGAATAAACACGTATCTATTATACAATACAAATATAATAGATATAATGGCTCCTTGCGGAACAAAATAATATTGCATCAAATTCTTTTTACGAATTTCCGGAATTGTATTTTTAAATTGTATGTGAAAAAAGGTAGGTAGAAAATTTATTGTTCCTTTTACAAAATAATTCGGTGCAAAAAAAATTATAAAGGTGATCCCTAACTTACAGGTAGGTCAAGATACTACAACCATTGTTCTCTAGATTTCACACGCCATACCTGGGATCATAAGTCATGAATCGTTAGAGACTGACAATAATAACTGTTAACTTCCTACTTTGTCGGTAATGTCATTTAAGTATATGTTTGGGGAACCACATGCACTCAATTGTAGAAACGAATTTAACATCAACGCATTATTACTATTATTATTAATAATTATGTGTGTAATATTTTTCCTTAGGATCCTACTTCATATTTATTATGTACATCATCGTAATCAGTTCAATATATTTTTTTATTTAAAAACCATAATTTTATTAGCATACTGTTTAAGTAATATAGTACAAAATAAATATTTTATGACAAACTTATTGGTCTCTCCAATTATGAAAATGGTTTCAATAAATTTCAAATAATTTAATATTAGGGGATGCAACTATACAAGTACCTATTTAGTGACATATAGTGTTATCTTCATAGTTTATACATAATATTTCATAAAAATTGGCAGATTACAAATTATTTCAAATTGCTAATAAGTACCAAGTAGGTTCGTTAAAAAATGCAATGCTTATTATTTCAATTATATTAAATGCATAGGTACACCAATTATGTTCAGAAACCTAACTTAACAGATTTAAATTAAAAATATTAACATGATACTATTATAGTTAATATTATTTATATAGAAATAAATAACTTTTAATTGGTAGGGTTATTATTAGTCATGGTATTATTATTCTCAAAAACAAAATTTTAAATAGCATAGAACTATTAAAATAGGTAGCAGCTAGGTAGGTAAAAAATTTAAAAAAATCAATTGGGTATCTAATAAAAGATAATACATAATATCATTAAATTATAATATTATAATATAGTTATTGTAGTATAATTATACAAAGTGTCTATAGAAATATTATAAATATATTTATGTTTAAATAATATAAAATTAATAATAAAAAAATGTCTATACCAAGCCATCAAATACTGTACGTAGATTTGTTTTAATCATAAACGTGTCAAATTATATGTTTAACAAACAAGCTAGATAACTTTTTGAGAATAATTTACCACTTTTTAATATCTAAAATTAATAGTTGTTATTACTTATCCTTATAGTTCATCTTCCTAATACATTTTCACCTAATATACATATACTATAATATTCATGTCTTATACTTTTACATAATGTAATTTACATGTAAACTTCTAACATATTTTTTTTTCAAGAGTGAGTATGAAATTGCATTGTATTACATACAGTAATCGATAATTAAATACTTAACAATTAGGGTTTGTCGGTTACAGTTAGAATGCTATTATTTTTAAGACAATGAAACATAGAAGATGTAATTATCTACTAATCATTGTATTACTAACAATAGAGCAGTGAGAACATTTTCAATTGACTCCGTGAAACTTATCAATAAATTAATGTTTTTCATAAATATGATTCGTTTAAAAAATAAGTAGGTTTGCCTACGTAGTACGTATACTTGAAACAATATTGAAATAAATTAACTACACACATAATGCAATGTACAAAAATAAAATAATGTTAATAACATTAGTTTTTAATAGATTTAAAAATATACACGTATTCTATTGTATGTAGAAATATATTGTAAACATCTTGACACTAATGAAGTTAAGCATATGTTACTTCACGGCTCACATCGATTATGAATATTGAATATTTTATTTAAAAAAAAAATAATGAGATTTTTATTAAGTAAGTTATTATAATAAAACTAGTTACTAATTAAATAATTTGTATAAAAGTTCCAATATATTTCAGTAATTT